TATTTTATGATGAAGGACATTTAATAATTATAGTCAAATATGAATAGAGGTATAAGGGTAACATGTATAAATATTTGAGTTAAAATACCTGAGTTAATATGAATTATGCTTGATGACTGTGGAAGAGATGCACGAAAACCTTTTGTAATCAACTGATACACTTTCTACAGTATGTAAGGAAAGAAATTTTTAAAAAGTATTTTAGGTTATGTCGTGAGCATTTATGGATTCTTCGACCTCTTTCTTCTTCATCTCCCTCTCTTTGCCCCCAGATTGTTTGGGGGGGGGAAATGTCTGAACAAGAGGAACTTGCCGATTTGGATGGACTTTGGAATTCTTCAGCCAATCAGTTCAGCTCCACCAAGATCGCCATCCCAGTGGTCTTCTCCATCATCTTTCTGTTGGGCACCGTTGGCAACAGTCTGGTTTTGGCTGTGCTCCTGCAGAACAGCCAGAGGGGCTGCAACCAGACCCACCTCTTCATCTTCAACCTGAGCTTGGCCGACTTCTTCTTCATCGTCTTCTGCGTGCCCTTCCAGGCCACCATCTATTCCACGGAGGGCTGGGTCTTTGGCGCTTTCATGTGCAAAGTGGTCCATTTCCTCATCTACCTTACTATGTATGCCAGCAGTTTCACCTTGGCTGCCGTCTCGGTGGACAGGTAAACCGATCTTCTTCTCTCTTTGACCCAGATGTGGTCCCAGCACTACTGTGAGCACCCACGGGGTTGACTTGAGGTGGTGTGAGCTCTGCCATTGAAGTTTCCACACTATAGTCCGACCTTAGCAAGTTTTAAGACTTGTGGACTTCCAACTCCCAGACTTCATAGCCGGCTAGGAGCTGAAGTCCACAAGTCGTAAGTTGCCAAGGGATGGACATCCCTGCCATCATTTAGGACTTAGTATATACGAGGATCTGGAAAAGTGGCTATGGAACCCAATAAAGTGGTTGTGTTGTTGGGAAACAGAGTGTATTCTCCCGCAGACGGCATTTTTAACCACTTTTTATTGTTCCTTAAACTTTTTAAATGGCAAAAAATTATGTCCGTTTGGGAGAGTGGATTAGGACTTAGGGCCACGAGATTCACTACTGTAAAAATGGTCAAAAAATTGGGTCTGGCCATATGGTGCCTCAACTTATGACAGCTATGACTTATCACTGGAATGCCAGCCCCCATTTTGGTTGTAAGTCAAGGACAAACTGTATACTCATTGTCCCCTGCTACTGTTCATTGGAGTGGAATGGAGTAGAGTAGAGTAGAGTAGGGTAGGGTAGGGTAGGGTAGGGTAGGGTAGGGTAGAATAGAATAGAATAGAATAGAATTAAGGGTAGGATAAAATAGGATAGGAGAATTAAGGATAGGATAGGATAGGATAGGATAGGATAGGATAGGACAGAATAGAATCTGGAAGGGATCTTAGAGATCTTCTAGCCCAACCCCCTGCTCAAGCAGGAGACCCTATACCATTTTGCTCAAGGGGCTATCCAATCTCTGCTTAAAAACCTTCAGTGATGAAGCAACCACAATTTCTGAAGGCAAACCCATTTTGTTTGTTCTCACTGTCAGGAAATTTCTCCTCAATTCCAGGTTGCTTCTCTCTTTGATTAGTTTCCATCCTTTGCTTCTTCTCCTAACCTCAGGTGCTTTGGAGAATAGCTTGGCTCCCTCTTCCTTGTGGCAGCCCCTCAAATATTGGAAGACCGCTATCATGTCACCCCTAGTCCTTCTTTTCCCTAGACTGACCATACCCAGTTCCTGCAACCATCTTCATAGCTTTTAGTCTGCAGGCCTTTAATCATCTTAGTTGCTCTTCTCTGCACTTTTTCCAAAGCGCATGTAAGATAACATGAATGTGTTTAGCAATTCCTAATGCCATTGGCTTTTTGATAGGTATTTGGCCATTCGCTACCCGTTACACTCCCGGGAATTACGTACTGCCTACAGTGCGGTGATGACCACAGCGATCATCTGGGGCCTCTCCATGATCTTCTCAGGGCCCTACCTGAGCTACTACCACTTGGTTCGATGGGAGGAGAGCTACATCTGCATGCCAGGCTGGGAGGGATGGAAGCGCAAGATCTTAGAGACCAGCACTTTCGTCTTTGGCTACATCATCCCGGCTGTTATTGTCTGTCTCTCCTACTGCAGGACAATTAAACATCTCTGGATATCAGTGGATCCTTTAATGGACATGTCAGAGTCTAAGAAGTCTAAGTGGAAAGTGACTAAAATGATCATCGTTGTGACCATCCTCTTCTGCTTCTGTTGGCTGCCCTACCATGTGGTTGTCCTCCACTATCTCTACGGAGACTTCCCTTTCAACCAAACCACCTACGCTTTGCGCCTGCTCTCCCACTGCATGGCATATGCCAACTCTTGCCTCAACCCCATCGTCTACGCCTTGATCTCCAAGCACTTCCGCAAAGGGTTCAAGAAGGTCTTTAGATGCCTGCTGAGGAGGAAACCATGGAACAGAGTCCAAGTAGTCCATAGTATTCTTATCAAGCCTGGTGTTGAAGTGGCCTCCACACATATTTGCTAGTCGTTCCCAACTCTAGGGGACGTTTCAAAGCCAAAGAGCCAACGCTGTCTGAAGATGTCTCTGTGATCATGTGGCTGGCATGACTAAACGCCGAAAGCGCACGGAGCGCTGTTACCTTCCCACCAAAGGTGGTTCCTATTTTTCTACTTGCATTTTTACATGCTTTTGAACTGCTAGGTTGGCAGAACCTGGGACATGTCACGGGAGCTCACTCCGTTATGCAGTGCTAGGGATTCGAACCACTGAACTGCCAACCTTCTGATCAACAACGTCCGGGTGAATTATGATAATAGACAACTGAATGAGTGTCTACCAGGTCCAAGGTCCATCATGGTCCCATCACCCCCTGCATTGCATAAGCCAAACTGGAGTGGGACTTCAGCAAAGGGTGCGGAATGCTTCCAATAAGGCCATAATTAATGGTTTATTTTCTTTTTTCCCATCTGCATTTCAACCATGCTGAGTAACCAGAGTATGTCAGAGTGTGCACAGTGTGACTACTCTTTCAAACAGTGGTTTATCTACAAGGCATATATACACACACACCTGCTAGGCAAAACCAGGCAATCTTCAACTATAACATGGAAGCATACACACACACACAGAGAGAGAGAGAGACGCCCTTACACGACCTCCCTTATATAGACAGCTTCTTAAAGTGGCAGTAACCTGAGGACTCATTCTCATTTCATCATTTCGGTTTACAGCCTTAAAGCAGCTGGTCAGCAATTAAATTGTCATTACCTTAACTTCTAGTATCTTCTCTTCTGTAGGGGAAAGAATTTACTGTATCTGTGGGAATTGTGGGAAAGTCTCATTAAAGTCTCTATAAATGATGGAAAATCTCTACCTTTGAACAAAGGGCTAAAAGAGGCACAATGCTTTGAAGAGGACTCCTGCCCTTACTGGTCTTATATCCTGTTTCTTACCAAAAACATAGCGCAGGGCTGTGTTTATCCACAATGATGTCAAAATACTGACATCTGCAAGTTGCACAAGATGTAATTAAGATGGGAATCACATCATTCCCATGACGGTACCATTAAGTACATGCCACTATGCAAAACCATGACTATCCATGGTACAATGGTGGCTTTAGTGCATCAGCAACAAGCTGGGAAACAATGGGGGAACTGGGTGATTTCCACTGAGAGTGGCAAGATGAGACACGTTTATTCATTCATTCATACAATTTCTATAGCTCAAAGAAGTGGCTGCGGTTTAACTAGGGTTGAGAATCAAATGCACTGTGCATTTCCTGTCAGCCCTGATCATCCTGGCTAAAGGAGCTGGTTGATAACAGTTGGAAGGTCTCATCTTGGCCACCAATGCGCTTTTCACTTTGATGCAAAGGTCCTTTGGAGAGATTGGATAGCCGTTTGTCTGGAATGGTATAGAGGAGCGGTTATGGCAAAACTATGGCACACGTGCCAGAGGTGGCATGCGGAGCCCTCTCCGTGGGCATGCCTGCTGTCACCAGCTGCTCTTCTGCTTCCTGACCTGCTGGTCTTTGCAGCCACTGGAGTGCCAGAAAATGGTTTGAAAAGCATCCAAAAATCAAGCCATTTTCCTGACCATTTTCAGGACATTTTTGGCCTGAAAAACAGACCAAAAAATGGCTTGTATTCAGACCATTTTCAGGCTATTTTCAGCCCAAAAAACAGCCTGAAAATGTCCCCAAACCAGCTTAAAAATGGCCTGAAAAACAGCCTTAAAATGGCCCCAAAATAGCCAGAAAATGGCCTGAAAAACAGCCTAAGAATGACCCCAAAACAGCATGGTTGTTGGGCACTTTTCAGGCTGTTTTCCAGTGCTCCGGCACCCACAAAGATCGTGCACACATGTCCCAGTTTGGCCACTCGGTGCCGAAGAGGTTTGCCATCCCTGGTATAGAGTCTCTTGCTTGATCAGGGGCTTTGACTAGAAGGCCTCCAAGGTCCCTTCCACCTCTGTTATTCTAGGCCAGAGGTCAGCAACCCTAAACCCTCAAAGAGCCATTTGGATCCGTTTCCCACAGAAAAGAAAACACCGGGAGCCACAAAACGCTTCCCGTGCCTGACTATTTCCTGAGCGGCCACAAAACAAGCATATGTACTTGAATTAAAAGTTCCGTTTTCTTCGGAAACTTATCATTTCAGTGGTAGGGTTTCTCCTCCCTCCATGACAACAGCTGTAGACAAGATCTATGGAGATTCTCAGTCCTCCAGGTCACGGTTGTCCCAAAGGTGCTTTTTTCAAGAGGCAACTGGACTTTCTGGTGTTTTTTTCTTTCAAGACGTTTCGCTTCTCATCCAAGAAGCTTCTTCAGTTCCAGCTGGATGGTGAGGAATGGAAGGACGTATAGTCCTTGCAGACCAGCTGGTCATTTGCATCCTTTTAGAGGGTCTATGAGGCCACTTGGAGGTTTATCTCTGTCCTCAGGGTCACCTGAATGGTGCAAATAATTCCTGTAGTCTGCAATTTTTCCCTCTGGAAATCCATTACTACTACCACACCATTCCAAGGGTGTCCATCCCAAATTGTGTAGCTCAAAGTCTGTAGAGATTCTCAGTCATCCAGTTCATGGTTGTCCCAAAGGTGCTTTTTTCAGGAGGCAACTGGACTTTCTTGTATTTTCTTTCAATACATTTTGCTTCTCATCCAAGAAGCTTCTTCAGCTCCAGCAGGATGGTGGGGAATGGAAGGATTTATACTCCTTGCAGACAGCTGGCCATTTGCATTGTTCAGGTGACCCTGAGGACACAGACAAACCTCCAAAGTGGCCTCATAGACCCTCTAAAAGGATGCAAATGACCAGATGGTCTGCAAGGACTATAAGTCCTTCCATTCCCCACCATCCAGTCAGAGCTGGAGAAGCTTCTTGGATGAGAAGCGAAACATCTTCAAAGAAAAAACAGAAAGTCCAGTTGCCTCTTGAAAAAAAGAATTTTTGGGGGACAGCTGTAGACAAGGTTTCATTTCTGTCCTTCTTATCCCTCTGAGCATCCTGGCTGGAACCCAAAGGAAAGATCTTCTTTGGACCATCATCTCCAGGGCCACCAACCCTACCTCGCCCAACATTTCTCAACCTGGATGACTTTAAGTTATATAAGACTTCATCTCCCAGAATCCCCCTGGCCAACATGCTCCTTTTGTAAAATCTTGCCTGTAAAGGTCTTAGCTCCTTCTTCTGCTAATCAATGAGGAACACTGCTCCAGCTTAAGAGGGAGGGCAAACTCACTTGGATGGGTTAGTTGCAGTTAGTATGATTAAACGTAAACGTAGGTAGTCCTTGACTTACAACATTTGTTGTTGTTGCGAAGTCGTGTCTGACCCATGGACAACGTTCCTCCAGGCCTTCCTGTCCTCTACTATCCTCTGGAGTCCATTTAAGCTCACGCCGACTGCTTACAACATTTAATGACCATTGAAAGTTACAATGACACTGAAAAATGTGATTTATGGCTGTTTTTCATAGTTCCAACCTCTGCAACATCCCCATGACCATGTGATCAAAGTTTGGTCCATATTTGGTCCGTATTTATGATCTTTGTGGTGTCCCAGGGTCCTGTGATCCCCTTTTGCGACCTTCTGACAACCAGCATTTCATTTAACAACCAGGTTACTAACTTACCAATTGCAGTGATTGATTCTCTTTAAAAAACTGGGGCAAGAAAAGTGGTAAAATGAGGCAAAACTCCCTGAACAAATGTCACACTTAACAGCAGAAATGTCGGGCCTGATTGTGGTCGTTAAGTCAAGGACCACCCGTGGCGTTTATTCGTTCAGCTTTGGCAGTCCCCAAAGAGCATCGCTGTGTGGGGAACAAGCTGGCATGTGCTTGCACACTGTAAAAATGCTTCTGGCCGCGATTGCTTTAAAGACACAAAACAGAGGACAATCTTTAAAGTATTTTGAAAACAAGCCAGCATTTTGGATTTTGCAGATGTGCCTCGCAGAGCCGAAGTTAGGGAGGGTTTAGTTTTCTGATGAGGGGGGGGGACTACCTCCTCAATTTCATTTACTTGCCAATGTTGATGGCACCTTTCAGCAAAAGTGTTCCTAAAGTGACTTATGAGAGTGGTTTAAAAATAAAAAAACACTTATCAATCCATCATGACTCCCTGCAATAAATATGCATCTGTCTGGGGCGGGGGGGGGGGGGGGGGGGG